CGTGTTTGCAGTTCACGAGTCTTAGTTAGGCGTCTGATAATTATCGAGTCTAGTATTTTAGATACTATATTTGTTAAACTAATCCCTCTATGGTTGTCACAAGATGATTTTGATTCTTTCTTGTATATTGGAACAATAAGTGATTGCGACCAGTCAGATGGAATAACATCTGACTCCCAGATCTTAGCTAAAATATTAGTCAACCTAATCGCTAAAATTGGACCACCATCCTTAGAGACTTCTGGAGCCAATCCATCTGGACCAGCTGCCCTTCCTCGTTTCAGATTACCTATAGCCTTTTGAACTTCTGCTAGAGTTGGGGGACCTACTTCAATGTTCCATTCACACTGTCTGGGAATGGAGGGTAGTTGTAGAGTAGCTGAAGGCCAGTTGAACTGTTCTCTGAAATGTTCCGCACATCGTTCTAAACGTCTGGACTGGGAGCAGATGAGGGTGTCGTCTTTCTCCGAAATAGCAGTATAGGGGTTGTAGAGATTATTAAGTTTTTGATTGAGATCATGAACCGATTGATGTTAGACCATCACAATTGAAAACCTGGAAGCACTGGACGGCCGTTCCGTCCTATTGTGGGACTCCTCAGCAGTGCGTATCCACGATCCCGCTCGCGGGATTCGAACCCAGGGCCTCCGGTCTCGCGCGCGAACGCTTAACCAACTGGACCACTGAGCCGGCATCCAATGGTGATAGTTTCTAACATCAACCAATCCACGAAATTGCGCGACCAATTCCGAAATAGTCTGACTTACACTTGACTTATTAATTCGTTTTTTTATTAGTCTGTAGTTATCTTGTGTTCCCTATAGTCGCCGCCTTTGCCATCTCTTTTGCTTTCGTTGCCCACCACTAATCACGATCGTTCCTTCAACTTTTGCTTAACCTAGATCTGATTTCTTTACGTTCTTCATTGTGTTCAGAGCGTGATGGGATGAATTCACAAGAATCCATCAGTGCAATAGACCTTGAAAAAATCCATTGGTTCTTTGTAACCCTGTGGTTTAAATCACTGACATATGTCACTGCTGTTTCCACAGCTGTTTGTATAGCTTTCCAAGCAACATCTGGGTAAACCTCGTTTTCAGAACTACCTAAGTGTGACCTCAGTTGTTCCCGATAATTGTTGAGGCTAGTATTTTAGGTGCTATTTTAGTCAAACTAATCCTTCTATGATTACCACAAGATGATTTTGACCCCTTCTTTTATATTGGGACAATAAGTTATTGCGACCAGTCGAATGGAATTCATGGGATGGATACTCAAAACACCAACTTTACTTACAGCTAAAATGTCAACAAATTTCAAACCTTTCATTTTTTCAATAAAACAAGAACACTATAAATGCAATAGTAGGAATTTGTTCATTATGTGGATTCTTTTTAAAAGTTTGAAGTCTAAAACATCTGTATCAGTTATTCGAAAAACGGTATTTGGACGCTTTAGTAATGTTCATAGAAAAGTATCAATAAAAAGCAATAATATAGATGTAGGAAAATTGAAGGTTAAACATGTAAAAGCAGTTGAATGGGTCATTTGTTATACTGATCTTGGACCAGACAATAGTGAATATAAATAATACACCTTTACTAGGAAACGATTATTTATTGTTAAAACTAATAAAAATAAGGTTATTGATAACTTAACGAACACTAATCGAAATGCGATATATACAGTGCATATGTTAATGGTTTAAATAATTTTTTATGGTTAGCATTTTTGCTCCACATACACAAGGAGTTGCACTGATGCTATCCAAACAAACACTAAATGCACTTATATGATAGGAGTCTGACGGATCCAGGATCCTCAAAAACTCCTTCAAAACAAAAAAACGAAAGAATCACGATGAATGTTATCAAGTGTTAGACACCCGCCAATGATAACAATGACGACGTTAAGATCAGTTTTACGAGAGGCTTCAATCGATTATAGTGAAGTGCTCAGAAAAGAACCTGGTCATCCCGATGGGACGCCTAAACGCCAAAGTTGGAATGGACAACACCAGGTACAGATATATCATGAGCTACATGGACTGGGAGAGAGAAACGAGAATGGTAAGAGATTTGCAAACCTATGTGCATTCAACAAATTGGTCATTGGCGGCACAAGATTCTCACACGAACGCATGCACAAAGCCACACAGATTTCACCGCAACACACTACACAGAACCAAATCGACCATATCTGCATCAATAAAAAGTTAAGAAGGACGACGGAGGACGTGAGAACCAAGAGAGGAGCTGATATAGCATCAGACCGTCACTTGATGGTTGTCAAGATAAAACTGAAATTCAAGAAGCACTGGACAGCGGGGTGGACAACACCACAAAAGTTTAATACGACGTTTCTTTGGAATACCAACAGACTCAACAAAATCAAAATTTCCTTCAACAACAGATTCCGGGATTTTCACGATCTAGTCAATGGAGAGGGAACTACCATGGCAAACAACGGGAAGAGGGTCAAGAAAGCAACGTGTCAGGAAGTGCTTGGTCGCAAGTAGCATCATAAGGAATAGATCCCTATCGAAAGCCTGGGCAAGATTCAAGACAGGTAGAACAAGAAGATAGCGATCAATATCAGCCGAACAAGAGCAGAGAAAGCCAAGTCACAAGCTGAATAGACAGAAGAAAATAAGCAAGTGAAGAAGAGCATCAGAGCCGACACACGTGAATATGTGGAGGATTTAGCAATGACCGCGGAAGAGGCTGCGAGAGAAGGAAACATGAGACAATTGTATGACACAACAATGAAACTCACTGGAAATTATCGTAAACCAGAACGACCAGTAAAAAGCAGGAAAGGTAATATAATCACCAACATTGAAGAACAGTGAAACACGTGAGTAGAGCACTTTAAGGAATATTTGAGTCGACCAGCCCCACTGAACCCGCCTAACATCGATGCAACACCCACAGACTCCCCAATCAATGTTGGCCAATTGAGATCAGCATGACGATCAGACAAATCAAGAGCGGAAAAGTAGAGGGACCAGACAGACGTGGCAGTAACTTCAAGTATGCTTCACGTTCTGTTTTGGGAGGAAGAACAAGTGTCGATGGACTGGAAAGAAGCACACCTCATCAAGATGCCAACGAAAAGAAATCTGTACAAGTGTGAAAACTACAGAGGCATCACACTATTGTCAGTACCAGGAAAGCATTTTAACAGGGTGTTGCTGAACCAAATTAAGGACTCAGTAGACACCCAACTTCGAGATCGACAAGCTGGATTCTGTAAGGATCGGTCGTGCACAGACCAAATCACGATACTACTGATCATCGTTGAGTCAGGCAAGGTTGCTTACTCTCACCCTTCCTCTTTCTCCTGATGATCGACTGGATTATGAAGACGTCAACATTTAGGGGGAAGCATGGGATATAGTGAACAACTAGGATACAGCTGGACTGTCTAGACTTCGCAGATGATCTGGCTCTTATATCGCACACGCAACAACGAATACAGGAGGACACGACCAGTGCAACAGCAGTAGGTCTCAACATACACAAAGGGAAAAGCAAGATTCTCCGATACAACACAGCATGCAACGATCGAATCACACTTGACGGAGAAGCTTTGGAAGAAGTTAAAACCTTTAAATACCTATGCAGCATCATTGATGAACACGGTGGATCTGATGCAGACGTGGCGGCGCTGATCGGCAAAGCAAGAGCACCATATCTACAACTGGAGAACTTCTGGAGCTGAGAACAACTCAACCAACACCAATGTCAGGATTTTCATTATAAATATCAAGACAGTCCTACTGCGTGGGCGGAGAACTGTGAAAGCTATCATCCAGAAGATACAAGTGTTTATTAAAAGTTGTCTACGCAAAATACTTCAGATCCGTTGGCCGGACACCATCAGAAACAACCTACTGTGGTGAAACTTCGTCAGTTGAGATGGCTGGGACATGTGTAACGTATGCCCAACCACCGACTGCATCGATGTGCGATGTTTCGTTGTATAGGAGTTGATTGGAAGAATGCTAGGGGCGGCCAGACCAAAACATGGCACAAGTCCATGAAGTCACTAACAAGTTGACTGAGTCATATTGGTAGGTGTAGACAACCTGGTTGGGGACCTCGAGATAATAGCAACCGATGGTTAGAGACCCTGAATGAAATGGCTCAAAATCGTTTGCAATGGCGCAGGTGCATCCACTCTTTGTGTTCTCCCAGATTCTAATCTTCTGAATTCTTCATGTCTCTTTTTTCCTCTTTCCAAATTTATTTCACTGGATTATACTCCTTGAATAACATCTTCAAACCATAATTCTTCTGATCACAGCTTATAGTTTTACTACATCTAGCACTACGAGATTTGAATCGACAACTGCATCTCTGTGCTAATGTGGTGAAGCAACTCGAACTGATGTACGTACCTACGAAGTTCTACGTTGTTACTGACTGACTGACTGTGAGAGAGAACAAACCAGATCCCAGCAAACGAAGAAATCAGGAAGAAGCGCTTTAAGTGGATGGGATAAAAATTGAGGAAAGCACCCGACTGCGTCACAAGGCCAAGGAAGAGGAAGACCAAAGAACACATTACACCGAGAAATGGGGACAGTCATGAAAAGAATTAACAACAATTGAATGGAACTAGAAAGGAAGACACATGACAGAGTGGGTTGGAGATTGCTGGTCGGTGGCCTATGCTCCATTGGGAGTAACAGACGTAACTAAATATCTGTTAGTTGTATGTATATATATATATATATATATATATATATATATATATATATATAGTCATCAGCCTAACTATTAATACAACTTAGTAATAATAAACCACTCCCTACATTAACGAAGTAGGAGAATATGTGGAAGAAAACAATTCAACATTTTTTTATTTAAACACTATTTGCAAAAATAACTTAGTAAATAAAATTTAAAGTTTATGGAAACACAAATAATAAAAGCATTTTGCAATCAGGCAGAAAATCATTGGGTTGTGTGGAAATTTCATAGCAAAAAACTAACCTCTCTCAGATTCAGCATTCCCATCGTTAGAATCTTTCACAGCCGATCTTATCGCTCGTAACTAAAAGTCAGATATGACTGGTTTAAGTATTAAATTTAAGCATTAAGAAGTAGTTAAATAATCCATACAGTCACAAAATCCCATTATATGAATAATAACGTTAACAGATAACAATAATAACAAGTCGTTTACTTTCTACATGATCAAGCGAAGTTTACAACTGAGAACAAACTTCTACGCATATTTTATGGAAATTAATTTACATGCCTCAAGGAAATGATAGTAAAAAATGATATGGGGTATCTACAGCCATATGTTAAGACATTTGAATAGACTAACCACTAAAAATCGGAACACCATAAAAGACAAACTAGATTAGATTATAAGTACAGCAAAAGCAAAAACGTGGCCATTAGCATAGTTTCCACCGGTTATAAATATAAATATAACAGTACTAAAACCTTTAATCGAAAGTGAATATATTGCGTTCTAGCACATATATTTTCATTTGTACAACATTTTACCCTTATAAAAGATTTAACAGTAGACAACAAAATGGTACGAAATGTTCGAGACACTTGATCATGTTTATTGAAGTACCAAAAAAGTCCTATCCTAATAATTGATTTTTTTTGTTCTCATATGGTCTATGTTGCTATTTCTAATACTTAGCTTTACTTCATACTATACTAGTATAAAGATGTTCAGTATTTCTCTAAAATTTCGAACGACTTAATGGTTGCTTTGAAGCAATTTTTGGTAACGCATTAAATAATTGAGTATGCCACTTTAGAAGTATCATACATAAATGGGATAAACAAATTTTCTAATGATATTGAAAAACTGTACAGGCGAAATGGGATGCATCTCAGAGATGAACCTACATGATTTAAGGTTAGTAAGGTTAATAAACTTTCCGTTTAATCAAACTTCAGTAGTTTGACATAATCCAGTGCGGAAATCATTTGACGCTTGACAACATCGATATTCGCACACGTAAATGTGCACTACTTGCAGAATTTACTATATTTCCTGACGTATTGTTAACCTATATATTGCGATTAAAATAAGTAGTTGGCTGTAGCAGAGACACTTTTAGTCATAACTAACCAAGATTTTCAAAACTATGACTCATAAAAATGTCGTAAATTAAGTGGCCGAGTATGCGTTATTAAGTATTTTTCCATTTGAAATGTTTGTTTTTGCTAGAAGTAACTTGTAATTAAATGATCCATTACAACTTTATGGAAATAATAAGATCCAAGTACAAGAAACAAGTGTGATATGAAAATTTATTTTTCCAGGTGATTTCACATTTTCAAAGGCAAATGTTGACAGTAACTCAACGTAAGTCAAGAAGCCAAACCGCTTTGATTTCCAGTTACAAAAAGTAGTTTTTAACCTTTATATATACATACAAGACGGTACGTGTATAACCTATAAGGAATTTCATGTAATATGATTAATTCTTAGTTTTATGGATGACAACTGTTAAGTAGATAAAAAAGACTCTAGGTTAACTGACATTAACAGATGAATTATATTTGAAGTAATTAATCAGAAATCGTATTACAATGAAGCACTCAAGGACAGTAGCCGTTATGCTTCAATACTTTTTAAAACTCTTGGTTTTATTCTATATTCGGCAGCTCAAAAATCGATTGATAGCGTTAACGTTTGTCTGATAATTCTCTTGTAGATTAGTCAGTAATCGCAGTGTTACATTCCCAAACAAATCAACAAAATCTAAACTAATTAACAACTAACTTGTTCAAGTTGCTGCTGTTGATGAACAAGTTGGAACCTATACACTTCGGAGAGGTAGTGTTCAAAATATTGGTCCTGCATTTCGGTTACCAATGCCTTTTGCTAAAAATAATATTGAGACTGAAAATAGGATGCATTTACTTTTTCTAAATCTTTAGGAAACTGTTCCCGAGCATATTGTTCATATAGATCTTTAGTTTGCTGCACTAGAGCCGATTTAATTTCAATCCTAAAACGCTAATACAAAAATGAAAATGCGCTATTACTCTTTCTGACCTAAATTTCCTTGATCATCACAAAATCCTTCTTTTAAGTGAACAGAGGTTTTACGGATTTCATTTGAATCAGGTGGATCATTTAAGGAGAGGGTTTCAAACTTATCCGAATTAGATACATTTGTCTCGAATTCTCCCATTATTTAGAAATTATTCATAATCTGTTAACAAACTGAAACAGAGTGTAAAAGATCATTAATTATAATAGATTTACTCAATCTCAAAAAACCATATACTGTTTAAATACTAAACGTACACATCCAAATTCTCATCATACCAAATTCAAAACAACTAGCTCATTATCACAACAAAACAAAATACAGTCGATTTCTTAGTAAATTAGAATAGAAAGCACAGCTAAACCCACATAAAATATCAATAATGAAATAAATTTTATAGAGAAATGACCGGCTGTGAATAATGTTCAGGAAATTTTGAGAAATGAAACTAAACCTGCAATTTTAAATAAGCAATAGTGTTTTTAATAGTCTAACGAAGTGTTTTTAAATGTCCATTTCTGGAACAAAACTCATCAAATTGTGTGGGCTAAAACGGCAACTACTCATCGTAATCAACTTCATGTATTTATTTTCACCCCAACGTGTACTTTAAAACCCTTATTTTTATTGAGTTTGGTTCAGATATTAACCGTTTGTACAGACATCTAAAAATTTCTATACTCACTTTATTAGGTAACCAAATCGAATGCGTTCAAAATATATCGTCAAGCTTACTTAGACATTATTAGTCTCAAAACCTACTAACTATGCTTTCTAGCAGACTGACCATAGAGTATTTACTGTACAAACCATAAAACTAAGGCTTTATTAGATCCTAATCTTCATATTTTGGAGAAAATTTCGTTCATTTTGAAGAAATGGGACAAAAAACACAAAACTCCAACTCTGGGAAAATCTCAAATAACTGCCGTAAAGATTTTGGAATTTCCCCAATATTTTTCCAAACTTTGTGAAAACTATGGATTTTCATTAATTTTTAGGAGAACCCCAAACTTTACTCAAAACTTACCAGAATCAGAAGAAAGGGGTTAAACGAGAATAGTACAAACGTTGCGTAAATTTCTTCCAAACACCACAGTTCATCTATCATATTAGTAGTTGACGAAAACAGTATACAAAATAGTTATATATCGGGAAGCAACTAAGACGGAAACAACAAAACCTTAAAAATAATACTTAAGCATTTGCTTGCAATAAGAAATGTACAAATCACTAGAGGCGATTAAAAAATAACTCGAAAAAAAGTAAGTACTTTGGACCGTTTATCACAAAAACACTGGTTCTTTACCTATCCAAACGGAAAATCCCACAACTGATTAAGTACAAACGTAGCAAGAAACTAAGTAACGCTAAAACCAGTAAACCCGCTCGTATTAATTACGTACGTTACATCAGTATTGAATAATTAGGAAAAAGATTACAATAGCTTCTAGATAACTGACTATCATGTCTTATATAGCGAAATTCTAAAACCTTGCAATAAAAACCACGGCATGTCGCGACATATTGTATATTTCCAACATGTGTCAGTTTTATCAGAAATAAAATAATAATTCGCATTTTGACTGCTGATAAACCAAACGAAATGGTTCCAATACCATAAAAAATACTTGAGGTCAAACTAGATCGCAAGAGGGTAGGGTGGTAACGTAATTCAGGCGTAAAGATGTTCCTATTATATTAGGCTTTAGAACAAAACATTTGCGAGTCATTTATAGGATGCACAAACGGATTTTTGACAGATAAACACATTGTTTTGTAAATCTAAATCAAGAAAGCTTATGTAGTTTGCTTCATATGTTTCTCTACTACTCATAAAGCAACAATTAAAACACTTGATGAAGATATGCATGACAAGCTTATTTTGCAATTAGTTTTCAATGTTATTTGTGTTTATTCTGTCAATTTTTCACTGCATGTGCTTTTATTTTTAGATGATTGTACGTTTTGTCTAAGTGACCTTGAACACATTTTCTTCCGTCCTGTTGCATTCACATCATGAAACACGCTATCACTTACTAACAAATACACTGTTACACACATACCTCTTGTTCTCTATTCGCTCGTGATTGTATTAACTGAACTCTAAATCAAATACCGTCTACGTTCATAGACTGTAATCGAAATATATCATATTCTACATTTGATTATACCTCTGAGAAGACATCAATTTAACTGAAATCTTCAATCATCTATAATTGTGGATTTTGGTACCAGACTCAATCGGCACACGCACAAATCTGCTGAATTAAGTAACGTCCCTAATTTTTGTTGTGTTTATAATATTTAACTGATATATATTAGCAACACTACTTGTACTTAATAACTCTGTTATCATTTTTGAGTTCATATATTGTTTGGTTCACCACTTACTTTTCATGATCTAGTCCGTAGCATCAGTGAATTTTTTCATCAAACCAAAATACTGTAACGATCATGCACAAACATCTGAACATTATGGTTTTCATTGGACACTGATAAGTCCATGTTTGGCACAGAATGACGAATACCTGCTGCGAAACTGCAGTGCATGGCAATCAGTTACATCTAGTAATTTTATGCTTTTTATGTCTAAGTAAAGCGTTTGCGTTTTGGTATTTCTGTGAATTGATCTATGAATACAGAATAATCTGCGCATTCAGTTCGCATTGGCAAGTATAGAAATTGTCGCACGGTATAACTATGATGAACTATTATGTAGCTTAGGCCATAACGTCCTTCGCACTCGTTTTTGGTAGATGGACCTTCAAAGTCTGAAAGTGCGTAGCGTCATGAGAAAGCAGACTATGCCAGGTAAGCACTTACTTATTAGCATTTGATTTCGGAATTGTCTTCCGATCACTTCTTGACTTCAATTAGTGACTTTTAGAGGCACTATTGGTCCGAATAAAGGGTGTAGTAAGACGATTAAATAAAGTGTCATAAATTCCACACCTTATCAAACAATTTCACCCAAAATTGTTGACCGGAAGAATCACTTTAACCATTTAAACTTTATCCTAGGAGTTGTAGAGTCTCCATAGAGAATGTTTGTGACACCTGATAAAAACCGAAATTCTTGAAAAATGACGGGGCCGATTTTAATTCTCGCAACCCAAGAAATAATTATTACAGGTGTATGGAATGTCCAGATAAGTTGGGAGACCAGGAAGACCTGTAGTGGTATCGGTTCCAACCACACCATTCTCAAACCACAACATGAGATAACTTGAAAAACGCAAATTTAATGTCTTACAACGAGAGAAAGTCAGAAATGGTGAACGCAGGACCAATTAATCAGCGTAGCATGGTTCAGCCTTACACTTGCGTTAATTATTGTGTAACCCATACCTTTCCACATAAAATAGAGTATTTCATCCGCAGCAAAAATGCGTTCTTCCTAAGTGCCAAACATCATATTCTGATGGTACGACATATCACTGTAGATAATTGCGCGATTTACATGTAATATCTTATATATTGTCCAGGCTCATAACAAATGTACTATTTTGGGATAAGATTCATTGCTAGAGTAGCATTAATGCCAAACTAGACTGTTATTCTACAGGCTGTTAAAAGAGCTGCACAAATGAGATCAGATAAATTGTCTCTTGTTGAAGTAAAACTCACCGGACACAAGCTGAACAGAAAAACAGCTTCGGGAGAGGTTCTGTCTCATTCTGAATTCGATGAGTAAAATGACCCACAGACTTGCAAAGAGTTGCGTTGTTGCTGTTCAGCAATGCGCACAAAGAACTCTGCAGGACAGGTTTTATTACCAACAGGATGTAGTAAGAGAAGGGGAGAAAATATAGCAAGAAGATCGGAAGAGACTGAGGCGGCACTAGTTTTAGCACGCCAGTACATTTTATGTTCGATTGAGTGTAGAGTTACAGCCCAGTTCGATATCAGTACGCTGATCTCCGCTACTAGAATAATAGACCTAAAGACGAATTTTCAGACTTGTCATGATATGACCACTTAGTCTTTGAGATTTTATATGGATGCAACATCATTTCCTATATTTACTCGTCCTAGAGTGATCTAAACAATGTAGTGTTTAGCACTTCTGAAGAACACGCTTGTACTGGAGATAGAACAACACATATAACATGAAAATGAATCAGTTACATAGGGCGAACATGTAGGTTAGGATATCATACCACGGCAATAGTACCATAAAACAGGGTGAACCTCTGGTGACACTCAGAACAAGATTCAGGAAAGAAAGAAAGAACAATAAAAGTAACAAACAACAGTAACAAAATAAAAGCAGGGAAACCCAAAGAACAGGACGAATATACAGAAGCAAACAAACGAGTGAAGAGTATTAGATGTGACAAGCGGAAGTATGTGGAAGACCTATTAATGACAGCAGAAGCTGCAATTGAAGGAAATATGAGAACATTATGTTATACAAATAAGAACAAGAAAAGAGATCCTAGTAAGTGTAAGTACTACGAAATAGTCACAATACTGTCAGTGTCAGACAAAGTTTCCAAGTGTTGCTAAACCGTATAAAAGATTCAGTAGAGAGACGCCTAACGACAAGACCAAACCGAGACACTGCGGATCATTCTTGATCAACCAATCGAATGGAACTCATCGCTATACGCCAAGTTCCTTGATTATGAGCAAACATTCGACAACGGCGATAGGAAAACCTTATGGAATTTTTTTGACACTATGGAGTGCCTCGAAAGACTGTCACCAGCATACGAAAGCTTTAAGAGGGACTGAATTTCAAAATTTCCATAGACGTTAGCTATCATAAAAACTCCAAGTAAAAAAGGCCGATTACTTTCGGATTTTCTTTTTTTCTTCTGGTTGTTAACTGAATTATGAAAACCTCCACATCTTGGAATAAGCCTGGAATACATTGTACACCTTGGACGATTGGATCTTTCAGATGACTTAGCCCTTCTATCCCATACATAGCAACACATGCGAAATAAGATAGCCCGTGTAGTAGTGGCTTGCACAGAAGTAGGCCTCAACATTCACAAGGGAGAATCAAGATATTGAAATACAATACCGCAAGCACCGACGAAACCACACCTGTTGGTGAAGCTCTGGAAAAGATAGAAGGCTTTAAATACCTGTGTAGGATCATTGATAAACAAGGATGATCAAATGAAGATGAGGAGGTCAGTATTGACAAGACGAGGGTGACATTCCCACGATTGAAGGACATTCGGAACTACAAAGAACTAACACCTAACATCGGAGTTGGGATTTTCAATACAAATATTAAAAGTTCTGTTGTTCTAAATTGAAAAAGCTGTCTGTGCAAGATACTTTAGATCAATTAGCCAGAGTCTATCGGTAATAACTTACTTTCGCAGAGAACAATTCGACTTTCGACTGATGAGGAAATTAGGAACAGACGCCAAAAGTGAATAAAATGGAATTTGCGAAAATTATCAAACTACATCATACAGTAAGCCCTAATTTAAAATACCCAAGTCAGAAGGAAAAGAGATAGACCAAATAACACATGGCGTTGTGAGTGGGAAGCAGACATCAAGACCATGTGTTAGCTCCGTACTTATTGAGACCTTACCGCCGGAGACGGATATCCGTGGGATAAGGCGAGGTGTGCATTTTTAGGGTCGACCTTTTCTAACCCCACCACTCGTTGTGGGAAAGCAGCATCGCTGTCATGCTGGTTGTCTGAAGGAAACACCTTACTGCTGTCACACCTCTGTACAGTCAGCAGTACGACTTCGCCTTCGGACCTTGCGTTAGTTGGTTTTAGTCTTACCTCTCTTCAACCGACCAGTCTGACATGGTAGGACCTTGAGGAACGATTGTTCCAGCCAGTATAGCTCGGTTGCTTCATCACGATAAGCAAGCCCGATCACCACGTCAAGGTAGCAATAACGGTCGGGTCACTTATTTGGAAAGTTCTATGAACCTTGGTTGGTAGCTGAAGAAATGTCGACAGAGATTCAGAATGTTCGCCTAGCTTAGGACCACTTGTGTCACTGGTGACTTAGGAGAGATACACATCTGCCAATCGAAGGATGAATGTATTGCGTGGCAGTTTGTTCTGTCTCACTTCGTGGCTGTGAAAAGTGGTCTTTAAAAATAGGCGGCATTTGTAAATTGATAGTGCCTGATTATAGATTTCTTTGAAGCATTGACAGTGCACATTGGGATCACTGAGTCAGGAATGTTGGGGTTAGACACATGGTTCTAGGTAAAAAGACGGCAAATCGGCAGTTGAGGGAGCGAGGTTCTGAATAAAGTCGTTAGGATCGATGATTTGCATGATTAACCAGCGCCTAGCTTGATGAGTAATGTTGGTTAGTGTAGGGATAGGTTGGGAAGCTTGGCATCAGTCCATGAATTCACTGATTGCCAAAATGAACCATGTTGGTAAATATAGTCTATCTGGTTGGGGTAAGCCTGTTAACAATGGGCAGCAAGGCTCAAAACCGAGCACAATGGCGGAAATACACTCACTCTTTGTCTTCTCTTAGATCCTGAGTTTTAGGATTGTCGTTTACTTCTAATTCTGCACATTCAGTTTTTCTTCTTAAATTATAGTGTATATGAGTTATCTTTTCTAACATCACTAATATTGTTATTACTTCTATTACCCTGGCATTTTTTCTAATAATTTCATTTCGCTGCGCTGATGTAGTGTTGCAACTTGCACTGTTGCATAAATGTGCCACGTTCTACGTCGCTTATGGATGACTGACTGCTTGATTGAAATATCATACTTTACAAGAAAAGAAGTATACTAACTCGATGAATTCGCCATTTTCCTAACTAGATTCAGGGTCTCCACACATTTGGCGACTGTTTGAGACTAGTTATACAGAATATCGTGGTACCGCCTACCAATACCGTTTCAGACATCAATGAGTCATTTTATAAGTTTGAAACTTGAACAATGACCTAATGTCTCAACTTTCATTAAAAAATGAGATACAAAATAATTACGACATAGTTTATTTCAAATAATGGAACACTCCAACACTACTTTCTTCCAGATTACTTCTAAATTGCATGTTTATCGACAAGAACTAGCAAAACCATCTGTTCTTTCTAAACACAAAACAAAGATTACGTTTGTACTAGTAAACGGAATAAACCCATTCAGAGAGTGCAAACTACGTTATCATTACTCAATGCGTTTAAGAAGAGCCATTCATAAAATAAAACAAACTTATGGGGAAACTCACTGTTTGTTTCTTTTGCGTAACGAATTGCCTCAACAGTTTGAGGTTTAACACCATCATCAGCAGCGACTACCAAAAGCATAATATCAGTTGCTTTTGCACTCCGAAAGCGAATACCAGAAAATGCTGCATGGCCTGGTGTATCTAGAAAAGTGATGCTTCTGGAAAATGACACGGGATTCGGATCTGTAAATCCAGCATTGCGTTCAACAGATGACAAAGATACTGTAAATGCGCCAAGATGTTGAGTTATACCTCCAAATTCTTCGTCAACAACTCTACTGGAACGTAAAGCATCTAACAAAGTTGTTTTCCCGTGGTCCTCATGACCCAGGACAGCGACAATAGGGGGGCGTGGTTCACATTTCTCCGAAGGACAAGGTGGTCTAAAAATGAGGGAAACAAGGTTGAGATAGAAAATGATAACTGAACTCAAATAAATAAGATATAAAAGTAGACATAATATGGGTCGATTTTCCTCATGTAAAAGTGAAAATTATTAATATAATTGGTTCAGCCTGAAACAAAACTGTTAATTAACATTAACTTCGAACTAATACCTAAACATATGTCAGGTAACCAAAATAGCATTTTTTGATTGCGATTCAGTTAAAACACAATTATATGAACAAAGAATATTCTTTTCAATGATTTCCCATCGGGTTCTGTAATTATTAATCCAAATTAATAATCCATAAAATTGACCAGATTTAAGGCAGAGTACACCATTGTTTGTGATATATAAAACAAAATCAGATGGGTTTTGTGGAGATCGTAGTAATTTCAATGGTTAAGATCATGAGTCAGTTGAAGACAACGGTGAATGTGACGCTCGATTTCGTGGATTAGTTGAAGTTAGAAATTAACACCGTTGGATGCCGGCTCAGTGGTGTGGTGGTTAAGTGCTCGCGCGTGAAACCAGTAGGTCCTGGGTTCGAATCTCGCAGACGGTGAGGTTGTAGATGCGCACTGCTGAGGAGTCCCATAATAGGACGAAACGGCCGTTCAGTGCTTCCAGGTTTTCCATGGTGGTCTAGCTTCGACTGACTCATGATCTTAACCATTAAAATAAAATCGTTAATTTTGGGATGACTAATATGAAGTGCTAACTTGAATTAGTTTATACGCGAAATGAAATTGTGAGATACGGGATCAATAATAACATGGTCAACATGGGGTGAGAGAGGATAATGTAATTACATATCAGAAATTATGCAATATGTAGAGTAATATGATTTAGGTCAGATATAGTAGATAGGGTTGGATGCTGAATAAATTTCTCAAAAACATTAGCAAGTGTGACAATAATAATAAGGACAATAGTAAGATGTGTGAATAAGATAAGCTTGGGACATAAAAATGAACATCAATCAAGTTACGTCACCATATTACAAAACTGATTATTAACTAGTTGGGCCCGAAGCTGGCCAGGGTAAAAGAAGCGGCTGAACAGATTTCTTTTGGATGCAAAGCTCTGGCTTTTTGATCCAAATAGCAATTGCTTCAGCCGTCTGCAGGATTCTCAGTCTGACAGAATTAAGTAGACTGATGTTAACACGATATATTATTGCGAAACATTGCTCCATGTTGGTTGTGTGTTGCGTCTGAATTAAATGGGCTGAAATGAAGCTGTTAACCGTTTTAACTACACATTTGCTTAACCACATTGGGAGGTGCTCACGAGCCCGAATATACAAATTCCTAGAACATCTGCCGATATAAATTGCTCCACAGGAGCAGTTGAATTGATAGGTACAGAAACAGGTGGCTAGTGTAGGCAATTTATCTTTCGACCTCGCAGTGATCATTGGACGTGTGGGAAACACCAAGTGTAGTTTACCTGCATTGAAAGTTTTGTACAAATGTTGTTTCCTATTTTATGATACGATGTGGTCTGTTCGGTTTGTATATAAACCCAGCAAGCCTGAAATAAATGATTCATATTGCAAAGGCTCAGATTGATGTTCTGGACTTAACTGGTTGGGCTAGGCGGAAAGCAGGACCAATAAGGACTCGAGACTGCTCGCACGGGTTTTATGCGTCATTGATCCAATCGGTAATTCTTTGCTCTCTGATTGGCGGTATCGTTACGTTATACAATAAACAAGGCACACATGTCACAAGTTACAACCAAAAGTTGTTTGGATTGATCTGCGTAACTTCAGTCTTAGCATTTCACTAGGTGCATTGCCTCTGGATTGTAAGCGAATATACAGAGGCTGTTTATTCACGGTTAGGCATACTCCATGCTCTCTCTTATTGGCTATGTTTTTATTTATACATTTCTCAAGATGTGCATTCTCTTTCAAGGTCGCATATAATACCTTTGTTTCATCTTCAACCGTACCTAGAGGGCATATGGCCTTGATTATATGGTGCAGTGTCTTGATCAGATTCATTTTGTGTTGCAGAGGAACGAAACTAAGAAAGTTTGTATATTGGCCTGTCCGAGTAGTTTTCTTATTTATGTTTCTTCTTAATGACCCTTCTTTTCTCCTCGTAAGGAGAACATCTAAAAAGGCTATTCTATTCCCATTTTCTTTCTCACGTGTGAATTTTATGGACGGGTGAGCTGTATTGAATCGCTCAAGTGTTTTTATAAAGTCCGTATGGTCGTTACAAAGGATAAACGTATCATCCATATATCGGCCGTAAAATGAAAACTTGTCAATCTGTTGTGCCAGTGAGCCGTTTTCTAGTTTAGAGAGAAAAATGTCAGCCAATATGAGACCTAGGTGTGAACCCATCGCGACACCATCTATTTGTCCATAATTTAGTTCATGAATGAATAATTATTATCGCTTTTTGAGATAAACAAAAATGTCACTTCCTAGATATATTTGCAATCATTTAGATACGTTATACGTTATTCATTATCACCCTCCCAAGGACATCTTTTATGAATAAAACTAAGTATCTAAACTTTAATACCGCCATGTGTGCAAAATGATACACATGAACAAAGAATTAATAATGTAATCCAATAAAGATCCTGTACGTAACTAAAAACAAAATTTGTTTAAACCAGGGGAATTCAGATCTCCAGCATGTGATGGAACCCAGCAAGTGAACAACCACTTACCTAGCTTTGGTCCACACTTTATGTGTGAAGGCTTGTGCAACTACGCACATGAGCAAACCTACGTATGTGAAGTGACACTTGGACCTGGAAACTAGTGGCTAAAGGTTAAACGCCTTAACCACTAAGCCACCAAATCAACTCTACAAAGAATCCCATGTCTCCAACAATTAGATCATAGTAACATGTCAAACAACAAACAAACTGTGTAGCCTAAACACGCCACAACCTAGTTGTCTCACTTCTCAACCTCACAAAGTGAGAATTAATACACTAGATAACTTTAGAGACTAATCCTACCGATGATCGCTCTCAAGCTTATGACAATCATCATTTGGAATAGATAAAACTTAATTAAGCTTCTCCAAAGATACCTATATACAACCACTTCGGCTCATTTGCTCAAAGATAAGTGAATTTGAGCGTAACTTTAATCTTAACAATTCAGTAATCTAGTTAAATGCATTTTTGTGACTAAGAATCAGTAAAGTTTCATTGCAAAAGACAAATGCTTTTAATAACTTTGTCTAAAATGTTTATCTGCAGTAACCAATGGTTATAGGGTATGAAAGTATTAACTTTATGGTTGATTTGTCTTAGCTTTTAAGTACTATGCCTCAAATTTGAACCGTGCTCCACTTACTTCGGGTCGACAAACCGGGAAGCACTAATATATCTCTCAAATTTAAAGTGTGCCTCATAACAAGTACCTGATAGATGAATGAATTCTTTTATTCTCCCGAGGACTGAAACGAAAGTGGAACCAGTCGCCAAATCTATACTTGAAAGTAGAATTTAACCTCGGTATATACATCCAGGTTAAGACATCTCAGTGGACACTAGAGATGAGTTCAAAAACCAAAACAAACACAAACCCTATGACATCCAGATATTCCCACCGATCAACGAATTTGTGAGATCTAATACCGAGAGAGATTATATATATATTTTCAGCCGGTTAATTATGATAATTAAGAGTGTTTGAATTATAGTACGAACTAAGAATCCCAGAAATAATTCAATTGGATCAGAGGTACTCGATAAGCACGAACGAATGTACTGTATTTGGAATTCAAAATCAAGCATTCAACAGGTACAGAGGAATCATTAGTTCATTCAAACACCACAGTAATTCAAGAAAAACCTATTATCAGCAGTTGTCCAGAAGACCAGTACTGTCTGTGTTTTATCTCCTGTAGAGTTATATGATATCCATCGGTTTCGGGCAATTTTCCAGTCATTTAGGGTGTGTGTTCTGCATAAATTGGTTTCGTTCCAATCACAAGTGAGAATCCAGGTGATGTTTTTCATTTCCAACTAAGATCCATAGTTTTGAGGGTCGAATTTGATTCCTCTTTCGTGCTTGCAATATTAGCGTCAGGGTAAATCCTGGTACTGGTCTTGCCTTACTTTTCAGATGAAAGGTCAGTAATAAGTAACTTCGCTAGTCATTCGGGGGCTTAGGTATAAGCTTTTGTATTAGGATGAGAAATTTAGTTACCCTTGGTAGAATTTTCGAAGTGCCAGTCCAACTATATAGCGTATTGCGAACATACTTTTATATGACTAGCTTGAAAAGGATTTCCATAAATATTAGTTGCCACAGTTCTCTCTCGGTCAGATCTGCAATATTTTCAGCTTTTTTTTGAAAAAATAATTACAAACTGCAAGGATTATTATAGGTCGACAGACCTCCTATCCTTATTATTGAAGACTGAAGTAAACTCGTCAGGGTGCAATATCATATTGTTGGACCTTGAAGTAACTTTCTCGTACTGGGAGCTAATGAGAATTTTTGCACAACTCTGAAAGCATACTGTGATATTATTTTATTATTGATGATTCTCAACATTTTTGGTTCAAAAACCTTATTTTTAGTTTGTTACAGTTAATACAATTATCTCCGTTTAACCGGCGTTATAGGAATAAAAGTTATTTAATTCACAACCACTGATATAAAATCAATATACGAGGAATCTATCTCGATGATAAGCACAGTTGTAAATAATTGTCACTTGTATAACGTTTATGAACCTCAACTAAGCTTAGTGCCCGCTACATACGTCTCTACTCTGTATATACAGTATTACCTAAGTATACTTAAATAATATACTGTAGTATATTGCTTACTGTATCATATGGACAAGAAAAACGTAACTCGAATATGAAATGTTTTCTAAGGTTTCTGAAAAATGGACAGTTAACCGTGTGCAGAATTCTCATTTCTAACTAACCCTGTCCTGTCTAATGCATTTTTTGATGAACTGCAAACATTTTCAGTGATTTAGGTAGAATTGGTGAAATCTAGTGTTTTTTATGACTTGCGAGTGTGAGGTGGAATTCTTCGGGCGCCCTACCCTGGAATAAATCCATATTGGCCGACGACTTTCTTAATATCTTGATCTAAGATAGCATTCTCAGTCAGTTTTTTCATTGAAGACTTAGACTGACTCAGTGTATAAACAATATACTTAGTGGTGGATGTTGAC